GACAGGCAAAGCAGCCGAGTTAAGCGGCGTTTATTATTCTTCCAGGCCTGGAAAGCAAAGCTCTCGATGCACGGGCGTGCTCGGCCTTCCCGTCCGGAGCGCCGCGGCTCCGTGTGGAAGTTGCAGTGCTCACAGAGAGCCAGCGAGATGGATTATTTTTCCTCAAGTGTGGACTTAAGTTTCTGCTCCGTGCTGCTGGGTGGCCCACTCCGCTTTAGCCGTGTTAACATAAGAATAGAGCGGTGGCCAGGAGAGGGGGGGGCGGCCGGGGAGCTGGTTTAAATTATTCTGCGCCTCCGCCGCTGCATAGCAGGAGCTGTTGTTATCCACTTAGAACATCAGACGATTTGTTCCTTCTCCCTCTCCCCTCGCTCCCTCTCTCAGCCCTGTGGGCGTCTTTATTCGGCCCTTTGTAGCGCCGTCGCGTTATAAGGCCCGACCCGGCCGGGGCGCGCCCCGCTCCCCGCCGTCTCTGGCCCGAGTGAAGACGGCCTTAAAAACCAGAAATATGAAATGCTAGCTGCGCCGGTGACGAGGCCGTGACGCTCGCAGGCCCAGATGAGGAATGCAGTTATGAGGAGATGTTTGTATACATCCAGCCTGCGCCGCGCAGAGCGGCGATGGCGGTTGAGCACAGCTTAAAGACATCTGGATGCGATGAAATGCCATTTGTCTAAACAATCACGAGTCTTTGCAAAGCCACCCAATGTGCGCGCTGCTTTTAGTGCATACTTGTGCAATGTGCTCCAACAGAAAGGATATTGACAAATATTTCATTGCGACAGCTTCATGAGATAAGAATTTTTTTTAAAAAATTTCCTGCGCTGCTGTAAACATTAAAAAAATGTGAAGTTCATTTGGAGTGGAGTGGGGGGGCGTGGGGGTGGAAATGATGAGAAAACCACGGTGGCATTTATAAATAAGGCAAATCAGCGAGATTGTAATGTAAATACGTCCATTCTGAGCTCATTCTTCTTCAGAAAGGGAGGGAAACTGAACAATAACCGCTCGCACTTCCTGTTTGACCATCCGCCGTGGCGAGGAGCCGGAGGAGTTTGGGCGGACCGACCGAAGACGTGAAATGGGCGAGCAGACAGAGGATGAAGCATCGCGTGTCAAAGAAATGCCACACCTTTAGATTTATTCTCTAATTATCTCCATTTAAACAAATGGTGCGGGCACCGGTGGCGGCGTGCTCGGCGGTGCCAGCGGTGGAGTAAGTGGGGCACGCAGACATGACTGGGATAATAAGCGTCATGGAATCTAATCAGATTTCTAAGAGGAATTGATTGTTGTGAGGCAGCCGGTGCAGGAGTCGGCTTGACAATAAGCTGAAATTTAAGTGTTAATTTTTATGCTAATCCTCTGGCATCTCTGTGTGATGCAATTTGGTCCAGCGGGCTCTCGACTTTGCGCCGCAGATATGAAATTGTCCCGCGCACAGAGAAAATGTCAGCTTGCCAGCCTCTGAAAGCTTGTAATTTATTAGGTATGTTTCTATTAGTATGTGTCACAGTTGTTAGAGAGCCACATGCACAGCCACCTCCTCTCCCTCCATCCTCCCTGCTCCACCTTTTTTCTCCTGCACACGCTGCCGTCCGCTCTTTAGCATGGCACGCACACGTGCACGCACACGTGCACACACACGTGCACGCACACGTGCACGCACACACACAACGTGCATGTTCTTAAGATGGTCTCGGCTCAGCGGCTGCTGCACTGGGGCCTTAATGTATTATCATATATCGGGTGGTCCTTGCCCCTGGACAAAAGGCTATTTAATACAATTTAATGACATTCCAAAGAATTTGTGTGTGTGCTCGGCGAGTGGGAGGGGCTGCTGGTGCAAAAGGAGAAGAAAGGCAGGCAGGAGGAGGGAAGTAGAAAAATAAAAGAAAGGTGGAGGCCGCAGATGAAAATAGCATGTGTGTTTTTCATGGCAGACATCTCCGTGTGGAAGGCGCGACTCTCCCTCACCTCCTCGCTCTGCTCGGGTTTCCACCTGCAGCAGGAAATCAAGTTCGAGCAGCTCCGAGAGGCTGAACATGTGTCGGCTTTCTCCGCGGGCCTTGGCAGGTTACACGCTGGCTCGTCACTGGATACCGCTGCTGATAATTCATGCAGGCCTCGTGGTCGGATCCCCGTCACAGGGCGAACGGGCTCCTTGGTCATTTCTTTCACTCAGCTGTTCAGAGCTGTTAGCGAGCGATCTACAGCCAGCGCAGCCAAACGTGCTAGTAACCAGTGAAACTTCTCAGCACGAATAGAAGCGTGGCCGACCTGTTTGATGGCGTTCGTTGCTGCAGACAGGAAGCCAGCGTAAGCGTCCTGCGAGGACAGGATTGATCTGAGACATCGTGGGCCACATATGGCCCGCTTTGGTCTTAGGTGGGCCGGACCGGTGAAAGCCCCTCCTGCCAGTGTAACGAGGTTTAAAGTAAAGTAAGGAAACCATCTTTGATTTAAACTGTAAGAAATAAAATTACAGAAAACATTGTGCTGCAATTATAAAACACAAAGTTTCCCTCAATTCATGGAAAAGTCTCTTTTCTGTGGGAATGTTATAAAAAAAGAAACAAATTTCTCTTATTTAATTGTTTATCTAAATAACTGACTCCACCGTGAACCGACGCCCTCTGTCACGTCTCCCCTCCAGTCTGTAGAGGTTTGGGTTTAAAGGCTGGTGGGTATTAAATGTGACACCTCAGTGGGAGGGAAGTATCACTGCGTATAACATCATCATATATATATTCTATCATGTAGCTGCTCCGAGGCAGAGTTTAGAAAGACGAGCCTCACAGAGGTTCAGCAGCAGCCATATTTACACTGTGTATAATTCTGCATCTGTAATATTACAGTAACGAAGCCGTGCATGATGCAGCTCTGAGCCGGGAACATCTCCTCGCAGTACGAAGCATAGAAACGCAGCTTTCAGTAAACGTGTGTGCACATATCTGTAAGTCCACTCCTGGAAAATATGATTAATGTTTTTATGGCTCTCAGTGGAGGAAAGTCAATAGAGGGTCTGCTTCCCACAGCCATAAAGCTCCAGTGTCAGATTTACACTGTTTTATCTACTGTTGCCTGCTTTAGTCTATTTAGTCTATACCCGTGTGTGTGTTGGGGGGGATTGGTCAGATTGATGTTTGCAGCTGCAAATGCACAAAGTGAGTGATGAAGACGATGGCGATGAAGCTTGTTGGTGAACAGAAACATTTTCCTGTGAAAAGCTTTAAGAATAAACGATGAATAAACGAGACTCTGTGGCTGAAACGTCCGGTTTTTAATTTTACCTCCCGATCAGAAACACATTTGTAGATTTGACCCCTCTCAGCTCTGTGACGTCATCATGATATGATTTTTAGTTTTTGTTGTGTGTCGGTCAGACTTTACTGAGCTGAGGCCATGAGAGGGTTAAAGTAGGAAGGAATCCCTGATATCTGCAGAGCCTCTTCAAACGGTCTCTGCCCTCACCCACCTGTTAGGGACACAAAACACACAGCAGAAGAAGAAGTTGTTTCCTTGGTTTCTGTTCACTCGTCTTCCTCTTGATGTTTAAACGCTGATAAAATCGCAGCTCGTCTGCAGAGTGCTCGAAAGCCAGTAAAACTGTACTCGGCGGGCCCAGAAACACACTGAAAGGTTTGGATACAATTCACATATAGGTCAATTAAATGCAACAACATCTGCTCTCTCCCTACCATTTGCATATAGCATTCATATGTTAATGATGTCCCTTGTTTTTTTTCTTTCTGTGTGTGTGTGTGTTTGTTTCTCTCTCCTTTCCCCCTCTACTTCCTCCCCTCCTCCCGTCTCTTTGTATCGCCAAACAAAAAGAGATGCTGAAAATTTGGATTCATACTTCCCTTTTTGGAGAAAAAAGAAAAAACACAGATACGCCCGTCCTATTTTCACTTCCTCTCGCCTCGCGATTAAAGGGGAGGTTAGACGGGTGCCACGGTTGTTCCGTTGCCATGCCCCTGATTTTGACAAGAAGCGCCTTTAACAGCAGAGAAGGCGAGGCCCTATCTCTTCCCCGAGCAGCTTAATGCCTTATAAATCAATGATGACACAGATGGACTAGCGATAATCTATTTAGAATGCCTCACAGCAAATATTGTTGTGCAGATGATTAGACAGCCAGTTATTTTAACTCAGACCCCTAAACCCCGTCTTCGTAACGCTCCTCGGATTTATAGGAGGCGTTCCAGAGCCGGCGTTTGCTCTTATTTGAAGTAAATTTGGGGGAAAAACAGATGTAGAGAAATGAAAAGTGAGAGGGGTGTGTGTGTGTCTGTGTGTGTGTGTGTGTGTGTGTGTGTGTTTGGGTGGCATGGGCAGCTTGAGAAACAAAAGACACTGGTGCTGGTGTCTCTGCCAAGGCCATAATGATAAGGCATGTTTCTTCAAAGATGGGGGAGGCAGAGCACGATTGTATCTCCAGGGCATGTGTGTGTGTGTGTGTGTGTGTGTGTGTGTGTGTGTTAGGCAGCCTAGTGACACAAGGGGGGTTAATGGCAATCCAGGGTCTCTGCCCCTTTTCATGGTCGATGGGTCTCAATTTAGCGTGTGAGGGTGAGGAGGAGGAGGAGGAGGAGAAGAGGAGGAGCTGCAGGAAAAAAGGAGTGCAGAAATGAAGTGGAGGTTGTCAGACGTGGCAGCTGCTCCGAGGCCCTGATAAATATAAGCCCTTATTGATCGGTTGAAAATGAAAGATCCCCGAGTGGCGTGCAGTATTTAGCTTCTTGTCTGCCTCGCGTCAGCGGTGGCCTTGCCTTGGAGGGATAGATTTTCAGCTGCGCCTCCGGGCACCGCAGCGCCCCAGCTTTGATTTCATCTTTAACCTTTTTCTGCTGCGTTCCCTTGACCTCTGAAGCAGCGCTTACTGAATTTGTTAGATTTCCATCTTGACATCGACCCCTCCTCCCCATCGCTGTCAGCGCTCCCTCTCATCCCTCAGGTCTATATTTCATTATCACCTCCTCTGTTTCTCCCTGCAGGTGGCCATCGCAGTGAGCAGTAGTCAGTGAGGAGTGGCAGCCAGAGGCCTCTTCATCCTAACAGACAGGTTGCACACCAGTATGCAGGTGGTGTATTAAGGTGAGTTCACACACAGTCACGCTCTGCCGTCACAGAGGTACACGCGCATGGTTCAATAACACGACTGCTGCACGAGTGAATCCCTCCACCTGCACAACCAGAGTCTACCTGCTGGAGTCAGGGTCAGCAGCAAGACAGGAGACAGACAACAGACAGACAGACAACAGACAGACAACAGAGACAGACAACAGACAGACACACAACAGACAGACAGACAACAGACAGACAGACAACAGACAGACAACAGACAGACAGACAACAGACAGACAGACAACAGACAGACAACAGACAGACACACAACAGACAGATAACAGACAGACAGATAACAGACATACAACAGACAGACAGACAACAGACAGATAACAGACAGACAAAAGACAGACAGACAACAGACAGACAACAGAGACAGACAGACAACAGACAGACAACAGAGACAGACAACAGACAGACAGACAACAGAGACAGACAACAGACAGACACACAACAGACAGACACACAACAGACAGACAACAGACAGGCAGACAAACAGACAACAGACAGACAACAGACAGACAGACAACAGAGACAGAAAGACAGCAGACAGACAGACAACAGACAGACAACAGAGACAGACAGACCAGAGACAGACAACAGAGACAGACAACAGACAGACACACAACAGACAGACAACAGACAGACACACAACAGACAGACAGACAACAGACAGACAACAGAGACAGAAAGACAACAGACAACAGACAGACAGACAACAGAGACAGACAGACAACAGACAGACACACAACAGACAGACAACAGACAGGCAGACAAACAGACAAACAGAAACCGAAAGACAGACAGAAAGACAACAGACAGACAACAGAAAGACAACAGAAAGACAACAGACAGACAACAGACAGACAACAGACAACAGAAAGACAACAGACAGACAGACAACAGAGACAAACAGACAACAGACAGACAACAGACAGACAACAGAGACAAACAACAGACAGACAGACAGACAGACAACAGAGACAGACAGACGACAGACAGACAACAGAGACAGACAGACGACAGACAGACAGACAACAGAAAGACAGACAGACAGACAACAGA